TAGAACCATTTGGTGCAAATCAAAGGTAAAGTTGGATTTAGCAAAAGGCTCAGATGAAAAAGTTTCTCTCTGCAAAAGTATCATTAAAAAATCCATGGGCCAAATATGATGTTTTCGGATAGCCAGGGTGTATGAGGAAAGAAACCAGCCCATTCCAGCACCATCCTTTTCTCAATGCCAGTTCTTGTCAATTCAGCACCCCAAAAGGCAGAACTGGGGAAGAAGTAACAATGGATCTCTCATTTTGACATATTTACAGGACTAAAAATGTGCAGAGACCTCAACTTCTTCCTCCCACTCTCAGTTGTAATGGCAACTCTCTCTTTCCTGACAGCAGCAAAAACTGGTGCAAACCTTTTGTCTTTGCAAGCAAAGCTCCCTTTGGACAGGATGGGGTAATAAATCTTAAGTCACTGTGACATCATCTAACTATAGCTATAGCTACAGCTATATCGTCTGTATGTCTGTCTATCTATCTTTCTATCTATCATCTTCATCCATCCATCCATCCATTGGCTTATTTTACTTTTCCCGTGTGAAATTGTTTCATACATCCCCATTCCAATTACCTAATTTAGAAGTAATCTCATCAAGCAAATGGTTTTGTACCTTTCTACATGCACAAAATAACATGATGGGCTTCCAGTAATGTGCCTTTTTTATTTCTTAATACAGAGGCATCTTTTCCATGCTCAATCACACATTGCCAGACCATACAAACCCAATTACAAAATATGGCTTAATATATAAATTTGATTTGGCTCTCCTATTTTATACCCTCTTGAATGTTTAAATTTTCACTAATGCACACATATACAAAACTTCATGCTACCAGGTTTCTGTTACCTTCCTTTGAAGAGTAGCAGTCATAATTATGTCATATTCTCTATATATGACATCTAGTTTGCACCAGATGAAGTAACAGAGTACCAAAAAGGCTCTTCCTATAGCTGTACTAAAATATCAGGAGAAGAGAAAAATGTAGGAAGAGGAAGAGAGAGAATAAGATGATAGGAAGAAATGGAGGGATAGGATTCTCTTTCTGAAGATTTATTAGCATAACTTGACATGTAGTTGAGAAACATGTGGATCAATACAACTCCAGTTCTCCTGCTAGGCCTCTGTGTCCACCATGTCTCTATTTGCATATTGTTTTTTCCTTAACTGACACTGTCAGGAAGCAACCTTGGCATTTGCCCAAGCACTCACTCACTCACTCACTCACTCACTCACTCACTCACACACACACACACACCATCGCCTCTCCCCTTACCAGATAGAAAGTCTCTTTATTGTACATATCTCTTTATTCTCCCTCCCATTCTCTCTCTCTCTCTCTCTCTCCCCCCCTTCTCCTCTTTAAATGGCAAGCAGGTTATTAGTATTAGAATTAGCACTAATATTAGCATTATGTTTAAACCTCTGTCTTTGCATTGCCCTACTGAGGGTTTGATGTAAGTGATTCTTTCTATTTTCCCCTCCTCGGTACCCTGTCTGTCGGTTGGTCTGTCTATCCTTCTCTCCAGCTCTCTCTCCTCTCTTGCCTTCTGCTGTAAAGCCAGAGGCCATTGTTAACAGTGAACAGGGCGTAGGGAGAGTATAGGGCAGGGAGAATCCTCAACATGTTTGGAAGGCTGTCGAGAATCTTGTGATTTCTCCCTCTTCTCACCTTCCCCCTCCTTCCCAAACGGGGGGAGAGAGAGAGAGAGAGAGGGAGGGAGAGAGAGAGAGAGAGAGAGAGAGAGAGAGGAGCATCCCTCACCAGAGCTTCTATAGAGAGATTTCCCCCCTCCCTTTGGCGTTATGACCGGATTTCTCTCCTTAGATATTCCTTGAACATTTTTTTTAACCAAAAGGAATGGGGGGAGCTCTCCTCGCTTATTGATTGCGTTGCTTGCTGGCTGCGAAAATATATTATGTCTGCTCGCCGCGCTGCTCTCGTCAGAGGCTAAGGTAAGGTGGACCGAAATAGGCTATCAGTTGTGAATGGCGGAGACCGTGTCTCCATGATTTATAGCTGTATGACTCGCATCGCGGTTCATGAAGAGTTCACAAGCTCTAAGCTTCCTTCCACGCAGCGACTCTCGCTCGCTCGCACGCTCTCTTCTTCTTCTTCCCCCTCCTTCCCTTCCCCCCCCTTTTCTTCTCCCCCCCCCCCTTTTGCTCTTTTTTGATATTCTGACTCCTTTATTTTCCTTCTCTTTATCCTTCCCCCTTTAACTAAAATTGTTTCTTTCTTTCTGTCTCCTTCCCTCCTTCTCCTCCTTTCCTTTCCTTTCTTTTCCCCCCTCCCTCCCTGCCTGCCCTTTTTCTAATCTAGAGTCTAATGAATACAGTAGTCTTTTACTTTGAATTGTTATTTGTTCTGTACTTATCATTACCATCTACTTTGGGAAACCAAGCTTTCAATTTTAAAAAGCTGATTAATTTTATTATAGCACAGCAATATAATTATGATTTTTTCCACCCATTATGGAGGTTAAAGGGAAAAAGGTTATGGATTTTTCCACTCTTACAGCCTTCTTTCAATTTTATCACAAGCTTTTGGACTCTTCAGCTTGTTTTTGTTTCTTTAAATATAGTTTATAAAAGACCTTAAGAAAAGAAGCATTTGTTTTGAAATATCCTTGGGAATAAAAATGAAACTTCCAAGCGGGTGAGAAACAACTTCAGGGTTGACATTTCAACAACTAAATTGCAAAGGCACGATCTTGATTTCTCATTCATTATTCCAATGGATATTCCTCTCTGTATGTATGTGTATGCATGTGTTTAACTACCACAACAATTCCTTGGAGTAAATCATTTACGATTCCACCCGTCTTAGACTAAGATAAATGACCGACATTTAGAAAGTGTTGAAAGATGAGATACAAAAAAGGATCCAAATGTTAGCTACTGAGTGCATTGATCACTTTGGATTTCTTTTTTGGGTAAGAAAGGAGATTAATATTTTAAAGATGCAGCTTAATTTAAGCCAACAAAAGCTAATGAGCAAAAACGCTTTGGTGCCTATTTCTCCTAGGCCTTCCAGCGCTCCCAGAAAATCCAAAACAAACTGGGAGGGCCTGGAGAGATAATGGCTGAGTCAGGATACTCAACCTTCTGCTTTCATCATACAATTCTACCCCCCACCTTCTTCTTCAAACCAACACTAGTTTGTCATGTTTTCTAAGAAATATTTCCTGGATGCTGAATAAAGGCAGGGCAGCTGCCCTAATTCTTTCCAGGAACACCTGGCCAAGGAAGATTTTTAGATGCCTTCCTCTAGAGAGCAATAGCTACAGTTCCGAGGCCAGGGCAGAGAAGAGGAAGAGGTGAGGTTTACCTTAGTTGTTGAATTGAATCAGTGTAGGGAAAGCTGGTCTATTTGCTATTTCCCCACAATGGGAAGAATTGAGTGGTGCCTTTCAATACTATTGTTTATGCCCCGAAAGGAAGAAAAACAGAACGAAACTGTCTGGATTGAAATATGAAGCACAGAAGGGCTGAAGAGAAATAAAGAGAATTCCTTTCCATAGATCCATGTTTTGCTCTATTAAATGCATTATATAGCTTTTATTATATTTATAAAATTAATTTTCTTATTAGTGAAAGGAGTCCCCTTTCTTTGAGAAGCATAACACCTCTGATTTTAAATAAAATAAAATGCCAACATAAAAGTAAAAGGGAAACAAAAACAGGGAACCAAATGGCATTGTGAGAAAAACGGGATTTGTTTTGTTCAAAGAGCAGTTGTGAAATGGGCTGTAGCTGGGCTTTAAGAAAGAGAGAGGCCAGCTCACACCTTGAGCAGCAACAAGACAAAATTTTAACGACTCAAGGAAGAGGAGTTTCCACAGCCAATTTCAAACGCAGTCAGAGTTGCAAAAACAGCTTCAAAAGAATCAACATCAAACAACTTGAGCTCATTCCTCTTTTGAAAGCAGCAGATTAAGTAAATTGAATCTGGAAATATTTCAGAAGTGTTAAAAATATTTTCAATATGTTAAATGTTGAATCTCAGAAGCATTTAAAGGTTAAATATAGTTTTACCCAATTTATACTTAGGTTTGATTTTGCAAAATACCTCAATCCTGAATTGGAAAAATATATTTTAATTTTGTAGGTGAGAAACACTTGGTAATTCCATGTGGGTGCATGCAAATGCTACTGAAATTAATTCCAAATAGATTAGCCAAGTGACTTTCCACTTCATAGTTTATCTGTAAGCGAATTCCACAGATTTCCAGAATTTTAACTTGCAAGCCCCCTCCTGTCCCTGTTTTCTTAGTCTTCATTCAGCCCCTAAAGAAGCGGTAGCGAGACTGAGATCCATTCATTTCTTTGGCACATGGAAATAAAATACCTGGGCCTTGCGCTGGAGCAAGTAAGCAAGTGTATGTGAAAAGGCTGGTGTGTAGAGAGGTAACTGGGCTATATCCACTGCAGAGATTTTGGAGAATTGAGTTAAATGACCTAAAATAAATCCTGCGACAGCGATTTCTTTCTCGGTCTACAGGAACTATATATATAGGTAGTGGTGTTGTTAAAAAAAATAAGCACACAAACAACAACTGAACTTTAGAACAACAGAAGAGGGAAACGCCACTGAGGAATTGATTTGGTGAACGGTTCTCTTGTATGAAGCCCCCCCCCCCTCGTGTGTGTGTGAATGTGGATTATATGTATATATCTAGAAATCTTAGCCCATTGGAGAGGCGAGATGCATCTCAGAGCACCCGGCAAAAAGCTGTCGGCGGCGGCATCTGCTCCCTGCTCCCCGCCCTCCTCCGTAGCCGGCCAGCTATTCATGTCACGCGCTTTTCAGCCGCTAAGATGGATTCAGAGGCCGAGCCGTATCATTGTGTGTGCCTTCTAACCTTTCAGGTCATCTTCCAAAAGACACCGGGGGAAGGGAAGGCCCCTTGTCACGTGACCCGGGGGGTGCCAATGTCCTTCCATGAGAGGGCCAACCGGAGCCTGGTAACAGCGAGCGAGCGCCTCGGGGAACCCCAGCCATGCAGAAGACCAGCTACTACGACACCTCCCCGCTCTTTGGGGCTTATTCCTATCCGGGGGCCAACGGCTTTGGTTACGAGGGCCCTTCTCCGCAGCCTTTCCAGCCCGCGGCTCATGTGGAGAGTGATTACCAGCGTCCTGCCTGCACCCTCCAGTCTCTGGGCAACGCGGCCCCGCTTGCCAAGACGAAGGACCTGAACGGGAGCTGCCTGCGCCCCAGCTTGCCTCAGGAGCACCACCCGCCCCCGCCCGTCTCACCACCCACCAACCCCATCACCGCCACCAGCGGGAGCGGCAGCACCACATCCAACAGCACCGGCGGCAGCAATAACCATAGCCAATCGGGGGCGGTCAAAAGTGTCCCGAGCAAATCCAGCCTGGCCTCTAGTAACGCCGCCCTCACCAAGCAGATTTTCCCCTGGATGAAAGAGTCGAGGCAAAACGCCAAGCAGAAAAACAGCTCCCCCTGCGCAGGTATCTTCTGCTTTTGGAAATAGCCCCACACTTCCCATGCACCCACAGTGCCCATTACTCCCTCCCTGGCCATACACAAGCAAGCCCAGTTTAGTTATAGATAGCTGGTGAAGGGGTACAAGAAAGAGAAGTGGTGAAGGAATGCAAGCCAATGCAATATTTGCCTTTTTAAAAAGGGCATTGTTGGGCACTGTGTGTGTAGTGCTATGTTCTCCATCCATCCCCACCCCATCTGAAAGGTTTAGGCTGGGGAGGCAGCCTGCTTGGCCCTGGAAGAACATCATTGGGGCAAGCAACCTGGGTGGAACTACAATCCACACCAGCAGAGTCATGCTAGCTCAGGGTGATGGTGGTGGCCCTATTCTACATTTTTGGATTAGAATAAAGTAGTAATTAAGATAACTGAGGAAAAGGATCTCTGCCTGGAAATTAGATCTTTAGGGAAAATCTTGTTATTGAGGTGAGAAATGGATTGCAACAAAGACAGGAATCTGTCCCAGAGACAGTACTGAGAGTGCCAGAATGGAAATAGAACAAGGTATGGATACAGTAGGAGTGATTTTGTGAATTTTGCATGAAGGGCTAAAGATGGCAGGTTCCTCACTTCAGTTCTATGTATTAATAAATTCAACCTCCTTCCTACCTCCATTCCTTCAAAGGATATGGATTTGGATACTAATTACACAGGATAATTAGTATCATCTACTTATATTGAAGTAATGCTCTGTCTTTCAGACCTACAGCTGCTGTATGCAGAAGTTCTGCCGCTAGTAAAATTGGGACTCAAAACACTTCCCTTTTTGATGGTCAGAAAGTTAACTTCCATTAGTCCCAGCTGTTGGACATAGTGTAGGTTTCTACATGTGAGTTGGTCATTCTGTAATGCTCCTAACTAAAAATAAAAAAAGGAAGAACATAAACCTCTTCTCTGAAGGTAAAACACAATTGAATCCGAAAGCTTGCAATTGTCTTTGTCTCATGAAGGAGGGTCTTGCTGGTTTTGATGACTTTCCAAAGAGCTTCTATCCACCCTTCCACCATAGGGCCTTGTCATCTCTTTCTTCAGTCTGCTGGACGTAGAACGTGTCTTCTTCAAACCAGACAGTCTGGGCAGAGCTGAGTTATGGTCTCCAGTTACAATGTCTGTTTTTTACACCTGACAAAATGTATTTCCATCAAAGTCCTGAGATGTGTGTTATACTCCATTTTATATGCCATTGGTTTAGCATGGATGCTCACTAATATCCAGCAGAGATTGTCCAATTTGTTGCAGGCATGAAGGCTACTGTTTCCCAATCGCCACCTTCTAATATCATATAAAATGTATTTTGTCCATGAATAATGTAGTCATTTAGTCCAAATCTTGCCTAGTAGGAAAAGATATTTGTTTTGGTTTTTTTTCTTGATATTTGAACTATAAAATTATTAGAAATAACAGGTTTTATAGAGGACAAAGTTTATAATAGCCACAAATGTCAATGGCTCCAGATTCATTTCTAAGCACATTGGTGTCAAGATCTTAAAATCAAATGGAAGCAAGTGAGAATAATGTTATTAGAGTTCAATTCTAAGTATACTTAGATTACAATTCTTTTTTAAATATACGTTCTTTTTAAGTCAATGATGTTCCTTTCCTAATATAAATAATTTTATTTGACAATTAAACTTCTTGTAGCCAATTTGCTATACTAAGTGATTTTGAATCAGCAGCCCTATTCAAAGTTGTGTACTATGACACAGTTTAATTTGGATTAATAATTTGCATGAATGTGTTATTGCACAAAAGGTATAGAGCTAAGTCATGCTTGAATTAAGAGAGCAACCGGATTAATATGTTTGAGCATGTTAATATTGTCCTACTAAAAGGCAATAGCTGGAATCCCAGTGTGGCATCTATGTGCCTGGAGACATCACGTCTGATAGACTTTTTACATTTAAAAAACCTTTCAATTAAAAATGAATTGGAAATTGGCATGCTGCATGAGCAAAGCACCATCCTCCAGCATCACCTTTATTAACTCTAATGCCTTTGGGCCCCAATGGACTCCATTAGGTTGATTTATATGTTTTTAAAGAAAATAAAAATGATAGGTGGCTGCAGCCCAGTACTATTTCTGGATTCATGTCCACTAGCCCAGAGTAAGGACAACAGCAAACAATGTTAAGTAGTGAGCACCCTACAGGGGAACAGCCACACTGGTTGGAGGGATAGGTAACATTCTGATAAATCTGTGTTGTTTTCCCCAATGGCAGTCATTTGGGGAAAAAATAAATTCCCAAGCAGTCATTCTAAGAGAGCACCCCACAGCATATTCTAAAATTCCAAATATACCAGTGAGAACAAAAGATTTGGGAACTTCTGGGACAGATTATATCCTGATTTTCATATAGTAATTCCTCTTGCATAATCTTTAAATTCTTGAATAAAAATTTGCAAATGTTGCATTGACTAAATATTGATGGAATCATACCCTAAAAGAATAACAGTATGAATTAGATCCAGTTTCACACATAATGCCTATAATTCAGAACTAAATGCAAAAACTTTCCTCCTTTACTGAAACGTGTAAGTTTTAAGGCAATAACTTTGTAAATTTGCAGCTTCATAAACCACATGCCCTGAAGAGCATGTGGACTCTCACCAACGTTCACCAAATCTGCATTAATCTTACCCTCAAATTCTGCTTTTGTCCCATGTAAAAACATTTTCTTAAAACTCTTACACTTTCTTTACCTCTCTTCTCACTGCAAGAACACAGGGATTTTACCGTACTTCACAACAGAGAAGGGAAAGTTACAAATTTATTCAACAGATATTAACTATGGCTTCAAATTATCTGCAATTCCCCCAGGTACCATTTATCTCTGTATATATTCATGTATACACATATTTTGGGGTACAGGTTTCTTGCTTCATTCTGCAGTGGATAGACAATGGATAAAATTATGATGATAATGAAGTTTCTTACAATGCAAAACACTTGCAAATAAGGCAGAGAAGAGGTGTATGGTTGAAGGGGTGGTAAATTCTTGAGCAATAGAGTGGGGATTTTTTCCATTTCAGGTTGTGTATAGAAATCATTTGAAAAAAAAAATACTTTCCATATTACACTTGCTTCTGTGATGTGGAATAAAAAGGATTTCTACAAAGGGGAGGGGGGAGCTATTTATTATTAATAGCTCCTCCAATTGCAGTTTTAAATCATTAGTCCTGCTGCATTGCCTTAAATCTCTGTTAACATATTCTTTTGTATGTGTATCCTGGGCCTGAGTCTTTTTGCTTCACAGCCAATCTTTCTTGCAAGTCAGGATTGGAGGGTCGGGGAACAATTCCCAGTTCCTTAAAAAACAAACACAATTCTCATTTACTTTAAAGCACAAGGTAAATATCAGAATTTGGATTTGTACAGAAAGCTTGCTTTCCTTTCCATCTTTTGCACTTTTGATTATAAAAATTTCTGGACACAATCCCATAAGAAGTTCTCCTATGCAACCCTTCCTTGGAATAAGTGGAGACTTGCAATGGGTTTGTGCCTTTCAAAAGTGCTGTGTGTGTGTGTGTGTGTGTGTGTGTTTGTGTGTGTACCCTGGAAGCAGACGTCTGAGTTCTCTCAAAGCAGGCGGGCACTCACTAATTCAGACTAGCAGACCAGGCGAGCTACAAGCAGGGCAGGTTTATATACCTAGATACTTCATTTTGCCTTGCTAACCTTGCCTACATAATTTCCTCTGAAAGGGTCTGCTTCAAAATAATCGACTCCCAAATAAATTGCCCTGGATTTCTTTTCTGCATGACATGATCAAATTTTCATAAAGCGTGGGGCAGCTTTGGAGAACAGAACTCTTAATAAATGACATGATTATGGAGTGGGGACTGGGGGGAGAGTGTAGCCTTCTCGCCCATAGGAGGATTTATTAAGAAGCCTGTGCATTCAATTTTCTGCATGTAAGTAATTATCTTTGATTTCATTTCCCGACCTTCTTTCCAGAAAGCTGCAGCGGCGAGAAAAGCCCTCCAGGCTCCTCAGCCTCCAAGAGGGCCCGCACAGCTTACACCAGTGCCCAGCTGGTTGAGCTGGAGAAGGAATTCCATTTCAACCGCTACCTTTGCAGACCACGCCGAGTGGAGATGGCTAACCTGTTAAACCTCAGTGAGCGTCAGATCAAGATCTGGTTCCAGAATCGGAGGATGAAATACAAAAAGGATCAGAAGTCAAAAGGCCTTGGGTCATCCCCTGGGGGACCTTCTCCCACAGGGAGTCCGCCCCAAGCCCTACAGTCCTCTGCAGGCTTCCTGAATGCCCTACACCCCATGACTTCAAACTATGAAGCTCCATCTCCACCCTCTTTCAACAAACCACACCAGAATGCCTATGCCATGCCCACTGCCTACCAAAACCCCATCAAAGGATGCCCCAGCCAACAGAAGTATGCCAACACGGCACCCGAATATGATCCTCATGTCTTACAGGGTAATGGGAGTGGCAGCTATGGCCCCCCCAATATGCAAGGCAGCCCAGTCTATGTGGGTGGCAATTATGTGGATTCTATGCCCAACTCTGCTTCATCACTTTATGGGCTGAACCCCCTTCAACATCATCAGCCCCACAGCATGGAATACAATGGGGGGCCCCAGATGGCCTCCAACCAGCACCATGGGCCTTGTGAGGCTCACCCAACCTATACAGACCTTTCTTCTCACCATGCTTCTACTCAGGGTAGAATCCAAGAGGCACCCAAACTGACCCATCTGTGATGAAGAGCAGGGCAGACTCGGTGGGGAGTTAATAGAAAAAGGAGGTGGATGTGGGATTGGTCAGTCAGGGGACAAACTGGTTATGCAAAAAGAAATGGACAAACAAACATTTGTGTTGAAACCCTTTATGAAAATCAAACCCTATTGTTTCAGGAGCACAGTTTATGCATGCTGTGTCTTGCCATTCCTGCCAGATTTATCCCTAGAGTGATACAGTGTTTAGGAGGCTTCTGGATAAGCCATGCCCTCTGGAGTAGAAGTATTCCTGTATATTCCTCTCTCAAAGAAAGGTGAAAGCACCAGCCAGACTAAGTGCTGTTCATATGGACAAGATAACAAATCTTGATAAAAATGAACAAATCCTAGGGACCAGCCCTGGTTGAACTCTAAAAGACCTGTTGCAAATCTAGGCTAGGAATGGCCAGACTAATGCAATCCCAAAGTGCAGAAAAGTCCATAATCTATTCCTTTTTCTTCAGTGTGAGAAATTACTTGAGAAATGCATCTTAATCACACTCTATCTTTTATGTTCTAGTCCAGTTTAGGCAGGGGGAGCATGGGGGAGGGGTGAGAGTAAACTTAAACTTTCTTGGACCCACAACTCTTGTTGGTTTTATGAATACACTTGTGGGAACCATGTTTTTAACTAGTCATGATAACATCTTGAACAAAGCAGCACATTTTCATGGGATACAGACTTTCCACAGGCAGGATAGAACATTATTTCAATCTAAAGAAAAGCTGAAGAACTGCCTCAGCTCACTATATAGGAGATTCATTTCAGTCCTTTTACATTTTTTGGATTTAAACTCCTATCAGCCATCCTAGGTGCAAATTTATTTATTTATTAGTCCTAGTAAGGTAATAAGTAGAAAAGGGTTGTGGGAGATGTAATCTGGATCATCTAGACACCAACAGATGCATACCACTGTTATATATCACTCTCTTTTCATAACTACTAAAATCTTAATTACTTCTAAGTAAAACTCTATTACATTGGAATTGAAATAACTTCAATAGGGAAAGAAGTCACCATTCTATCTGTTCCCAAAATGCATTCCCAATCATGAAGGCAGTAAGGATTCTTAATGAGATTAGGAGCAAACTTTCCAGTCATGTGTATATGTCCTAAATCATAAAACAGCAGCTTATTTATACATAATAGGTTCCTTAAATATAGATTGATTATTGATAGATTTATTAAGACTCCAATTTGATAGAAAGGGTTTGAATGTGTGTATGACTGCCTCATGAAAAAAACTTGCTGAAATCACTGACACAATCCTCCCTCCTCCCAAAAACTTTACATACTATTTATTTCAATGCAATTTGTACAAGAGAATTTTCTGGTGAAAGTTGTCTAGCTGTAGAATTTACATCTGTTCGTTTCAAGTATTTTCTTTTCTTAAAAGTATGCAAATATTTTGTTTACAATTATAGAAGGGTATATAGGTGTCTGGAGACAATCAACCATACAGGAACATACACTTACACACATAAACACACACAGAGGGATTCACATACATACTCTGAGGGACTCAGAGAAAAACTCATTTTTATAAGGGGGAAAGGAATTTCATCCCCTTTTGAAATTCTTTTTTAAGAATCTGTTTCAGATATATATCTGAATTTCACATATATATCTGTCCTGAGATTTTTCACACACACATATATATATATATCTGTCCTGAGGTTTTGACACAAATGTTTTGAATGTATTAAAATGTCCTGAATCTTCTGAAATCAACTGAAATAGACAATTTCTGTTACATTTTTTAAAAAGTTCATATAACATGCACAAAAAGATCTGGTGTAGATCTTAAATGCACCTCAATATTTCTTATATATATGTCTTGCTCCCTTAACTAAATACTAATCTATCACAATTCTTAAAGATTTATTTTACAAAGAAAGATAAATCTAAGGTATTGAATGGAAAACTGTCTTTTTTCCATTATCAGTGTATCTTCATCCATATAAGGGTTTTTTGTCCAGTTTCACCAACCCAATCCTTACAAATTATTCACTGCTATATTCCCCTCTCTCTTTTTTAATTCTAGCAGATGTTTTGTTTTTCAGAATCAGGCAGTGGTTTCTTTACTAAGTAAATTCAACAGCAAAATTGAGATTGCTTATACAAATAAAAACCTAACATCTGGAAGGAGAAAAATAGAGACCTCCCCTTTGTTCTTCCCATGATTACCTACCTTTCTTTATGATTTTGGTTTTAAGGTTGGTTAAGAACTGGGAGCCTCTCTCACATATAATATGTCTTTGCATTTGTCTGCATAACTTCTCTTGAACGTGAAAACAGGGTATATTTGATCAGAAACTGTTATGTCCTCCAAATGGAAGCAAAGTAAAAGATCCTTTGGGGAGAGGATTCCTTTACTGGTGCCTCTTCTTTGGCCTGACATTCTTTCTTGCACTTAGAGTTTACATTTTAATGGCTATATATACCAACATTTGAAGGACACACATTGGAATACTATTTTCAATGGAGGTGTGCCATGTTCCAGTAAACATTCATATATATAAATATATAAATATATATTATATTATATTATATTTATTGGTTATAGCCAGTTTTAAACTATTTTTTCTTTTGTTGCATTATTTATCCCCAACATTTATGTATTTATAAGGAAAATGTACTTTTTTTAGTATTGACTTGTTATAAAGGACAATGGTGTCTTTTTTTGTCATTGTACAACCAAATTTTATTTTCCATTCTTCTTGTTCTTCCTATTCTTTTTTAGTTATTGTAATTTAGGGAAAAGGCCAGTAGTTACCTTCGTACTTAAAATAATGTGTTTAGTTCTACTGGAGGCATGAAATCAGGCTGTAATTGTATAGTCCTCAGTTAGAAGAACTAGCTAATCCCCAACCCAACTAATTCTCTTCTTCCTTCACTACCACTTCTTTCTCTTTTTTGAAGCATCTTCCTTTGTTCTTTACAGTAGATAAGTTTATTTCTTTGCTGGAAGGGTTGTCTGTTGAACAATTCTTGAATAAACTTTCTGTTCTTAATTTATTCTTGTCCTATTTGTCAGATTTGAAAACAGGAAGAAAAAGAAGGTATCAAGTGGAATGAAGATGTTCACTTAAAAAAAAAAGATTTCTACATTTTTCAGCCATTAATGAGAAAGGCATTTATCTGTCTTATCCCACCTTCTTTGATTCTGTTTATTCTTTTGGTTATGACAGTCACTGTTTTATTTTAGAGCTTATAAAATAACAGGACTTTCTCCAGCTGATTATAATAATTTTAAAAGTTAATCATTAGGGAGTTATTTCCCTCCCCCCACAATGACCCCAGTCTCCCCACATCCACTTGAAATATCTTGTTCTAAGTAGTCTCACGCCAATTAAAATTACCCTTCATCTTGTGCACATACAAAGAAGGGTGATCATGTGCTGTCCAGACTAAACAGCCATTGGGCCTAAAATGAAAACAAAGGAAAATGATTAATCATAACAAAAGGCACACGGGCTTTCTTGCTGAAATTAAGAGTGAGTGGGGGAGAACTTATGGTGAAATTAAATCACAAAGTAAAGCAAGAAAAGAGCTGAAAGCAGATGCTGTTTGGAGCATTGAAAGTTGGGGGGGAAGGGAGGGAGGGAAGGTGCTTAAAATAGAGACAGATAAGAATTAATCTTGCCTTAATCTGCCTTTTAATCTCCCAGCCAGGATGAGAATTTACTCTTTACAAAACTCTTATGAGACTGGAGCCTAATGTAAATGTCCTGTCAAATTAGAATGTCATGTTTTTATGGCAGAAGAATGATTCAGATTGGAAAAAATGTTACTAAAGAAAAGAGCTATCATTATTAGGAAGATGCTTTGTTAACTCCACCTTTCTAGGAAGGGGTGTGGCAATGGAGCCTTTAAAGCAGAATTTGGGGGCAGAAGGTCACCTCACCTGCATGATCTGCAAGAGGATCCCTAAACACTGCAAAGCTAGTTTATCATGTGCTAAAATCAATAAAAGAATCCTCCAAAACTTAAGCCCAGAGATTCTAAAACTCTAGTATCAGCTAGGAAGTTTGTTGCCATCACTGCTTTTCTTCTATAGTATATTTTTAAATCATAGAAAATATTATCCTCTGTGACTGAAGTCAAGCTTTTTGCCTTGCACTTGTGAAATCTCTTGTGGGAGAGAAGAAGCTGAACATTTCATTCTGAATCATTTTCTTTACTGGATTTGGCAAGTGGAAATAATTTTTTGTGTGTGGAGTTTATGACTGGAAGTATTTTTTTTAATTTGGCATAGTCAATGTGGGGATTTCATTTGTGCAACGTCTATGACCCTCCCTGTTCAGAGCTATTTGTGTGATCTCTTGATAGACCTCTGCACTTACAGCATATTTCCTAAGGTAAAAACATAATGCAAGTTAATGTTCCTGTTAGAAAGAGCAGTTGGGAACTAAAGTGGACTTTCTGTGGCGCATCCCACTGTTTGTTGGATGGTATAAAGAATCAAATAGTACTTCTATGAATGTTCTAACCTTGAAATTTAATTTCCAAAACCTTTTTCCAAGCAAGCAATTGAGACCTTGGGCAAAAGGGATCTGTCCCTTCCTTGGCAAGCCTATTGTCCAAGGAGGAAAATGAAAGGAGTGAGTCAGAAGCTGTGAGAAGACTCCACCCACTTCTTGATTCAACTCCATCCCTTGATGCAATGGAATGTGGCCCCACATAGAGGAATATTCTCCAACAGAACAAAATGCCTTTTGGTCCCAAAAGTCTAACTGGAATATTGCATATTCACTGATTGAGTTAGGAAGGCACAACCAAATCAATTGACAATATGCTAACCTTGGTTAGGATATGTTTATGTATGAGCGGTTTTGAGAACCCAATTAGTCTAAAATTCAATGTCCTGCATGAAACTAGAAAAAGTGAATTCAGTAGTGACTTTGGGTATGTTGATTGAGGACAGCTATTCTGGTATAGGTTTTAGTGATCTGATACTGCATTTTTCCTGTAATGATCATAT